CCTCTTTTCTCCCCCCAAACCCCCTTTCATCCCTCCTTAACCCCCTTGGGACCCCCCAAACCCCCTTTTCTCCCTCCCAAACCCATATTTCTCCCCCTTTGACCCCCTTGGGACCCCCCAAGCCCCCTTTTATTCACCCCAAGCCCCCTTTTCTAACCCCTTAACCCCCTGAGACCCCCTTTTCTCCCCCCTGGACCCCCTTTAACCCTTCTGGGATCCCCTTTGTGCCCCCCCCCAGATCGAGGAGGACTCGCACCAGGGTTCAGCCTGGGCTCTCTAGGACCCCCCAAACCCCCTTTTCTCTCCCCCAGACCCCCTTTCCTCCCCCCCAGGCCGCTCCCTGAGCCCCCTCCCCACCTGCAGGGGGGTGAAGGCGATGCTCGAGGCCGTTCCTGACAAGCAGTCCCGGATGGTGGATTTGCCCCTGTAGACGATGCTTGGCTTCTGCAGGGTCCTCTGCCCCGGGGTGGCAAGGGGTTAATTAGGGTTAATTGGGGGCTAATTAACCCTCTGAGAGGTCATTGAGGGGCTGCAGGCACCTGCAGGGTCTTGCTGATGCGGGCCTTGGTGGCCTCGTTGACCTGGGTCTGCCTCACGCGGCCGCTGCCTGCCTTGCCCAGATGGCCCAGGCTGAAGCCCAAATCCTCCTGGTAGGCGTCCTCCTCGATCTGAGGGGGGGCACAAAGGGGGATTTGGGGTCAAAGGGGAGAAGAAGGGGTTTGGAGGGTCCCAGGGGAATTAAAAGAGGAGAAAAGGGGATCTGGGGGGGAGAAAAGTGGGTTTGGGGGTTCCCAGGGGAGTTTTGGGGGAGAAAGAGTGGTCTGGGGGGTCCCAGGGGGGTTGGGGGGAGAAAAGCAGGTCTAGCAGGTCCAGAGGGGCTAAGGGGGAGAAAAAGGGGGTTGAGGGGAGAAAAGGGGGTTTGGGGAGGAGAAAAAGGGGTTTGGGGATCCCAGAGGGCCTTGAGGGGCAGAAAAGGGGGTTTGGGAGGGAGAAAAGTGGGATTTGGGGGGTCCCAGGGGGACTTGAGGGGGAGAAAAGGGGGTTTCGGGGGCCCAGGGGGGTCCCGGGGGGAGTAAAAGGGGATTTGGGAGGTCCCACGGGGACTTGAGGGGGAGGAAAGGGGGTTTGGGGGGGTTCCAGGGGGTTAAAGGCAAAGAAAAAGGGCAAAGATCCCTTTCGTCAGCCCCGGGACGCTGCTGATGGCACCCCCCGCCCCTAAACCCATCCAAATGAAGATTCCTCCCGGGGAAAATGTTCCAGCACAGAAAGCTCTGGCTGCCCAGGGAGTGCCCAGGCTGCGCCACCAACTGCAGCTCAAAACCAAAGCTCCCAGGCTTTCTGTCCTGGGCAAAGGGCTGCTGATCCCTTTGGTCAGCCCCGGGCCGCCGGTGCCGCCCCCCCGCCCCAAAACCCGTACAAATGAGGATTCCTCCCAGGGAAAAGGGGCCAGCACAGAAATCTCCAACTGCCCACGGAGTGCCCAGGCTGTGCCACCAACTGCACCTCAAAGCCAAAGCTCCCAGACTTTCTGTCCTGGGCAAAGGGCTGCTGATCCCTTTGGTCAGCCCCGGGCCACCGGTGCCGGCCCCCCCCGCCCCAAAACCCATCCAAATGAAGATTCCTCCCAGGGAAAATGGGCCAGCAGAGATACCTGTCGGCCGGGGCTAAAACTGCGTACGGTCGAGGATTCCTCCGAGACCGGATGCGCCTGAGCCAGGAGCCCCAGCTGCGCGCGTAGAGCCGAGTGAGGCGCACAAAGGGCAGGCGAGAACCGGAGGGTCAGGACCCTCCTTCTGGCCGAAAAGGGCCGTCGTTCGCTGCCCGGCGTGCCGTCCGGCCTGGGGCAGGTCGGGGGCCAAAATCGCATACGGTTGAGGATTCCTCCCAGACTGGAGTCGCCGGGGCCGGGAGCCCCGGCTGCGCGCGTAGAACTGAGCCAGGCGCACGGAAGGCATGCGAGAGCCGGAGGGTCAGGCCCCTCCTTCTGGGCAAAAAGGGCCGTCATTCTCAGGCCGGCATCACGGCCCGCCGGGGGCTAAAATTGGATACGGTCGAGGATTCCTCCCAGACCTGAGGTGCTGGGGCTGGGAGCCCTGGCTGCGCGTGTAGAGCTGAAGGAGGTGCACAAAGGACAGGCGAGAGCCGGAGGGTCAGACCCCTCCTTCTGGGTAAAAAGGGCCATCGTTCGTGGGCCGGCGCGTTGGCCGGGCAGGGTCCGGCCAGAGGCCAAAATCGGATACGTTCGAGGATTCCTCCCAGACCAGAGGTGCCGGGACCGGGAGCCCCGGCTGCGCGTGTAGAGCCAAGCGAGGTGCAAGCAGGGCAGGAGAGAGCCGGAGGGTCAGGCCCCTCCTTCCAGGCGAAAAGGGCCGTCGGTCGCTGCCCGGCGTGCCGTCCGGCCCGGGGCAGGTCGGGGGCCAAAATCGCATTCGGTCGAGGATTCCTCCCAGACTGGAGTCGCCGGGGCTGGGAGCCCCGGCTGCGCGCGCAGAGCCAAGCGAGGCGCACAAAGGGCAGGCGAGAGCCGGAGGGTCAGACCCCTCCTTCTGGGCAAAAAAAAGCGTTTGTTTACGGGCCGGTCGGGGGCCAAAGTCGGATACGGTCAAAGATTCCTTCCAGACCGGAGGCGCCAGGAGCGGGAACCCCAACTGTGTGCGTAGAGCCGAGCAAGGCGCACAAAGGGCAGGCAAGAGCCGGAGGGTCAGGCCCCTCCTTCTGGGCAAAAAGGGCTGTCTTTCGCACGCTGGCACGCCGGCTGGCCGGGGGCCCAAATCAGATATGGTCGAGGATTCCTTCCAGACCGGAGGCGCCAGGCCTGGGAGCCCTGACTGCGAGCAAGGCGTGCAAAAGGCAAGCGAGAGCTGGAGGGTCAGACCCCTCCTTCTGGGCAAAAAGGGCCATCGTTCACGGGCCGGCGCGTTGGCCGGGCAGGGTCTGGCCGAAGGCCAAAATCGGATACGTTCGAGGATTCCTCCCAGACCGGAGGTGCCGGGGCCTGGAGTCCCAGCTGCATACATAGAGCCGAACGAGGCGCATAAAGGGCAGGCGAGAGCCGGAGAGTCAGTACCCTCCTTCTGGGCAAAAAGGACTGTCGTTTGCGGGCCAGCGCGGTGGCCGGGGGCCAAAATGGGATATGGTCAAGGATTCCTCCCAGACTGGAGGTGTCGGAGCCTGGAACCCCGGCTGCGCGTGTAGAGCCAAGCGAGGTGCACAGAGGGTAGGCGAGAGCCGGAGGGTCAGGCCCCTCCTTCTGGGCAAATAGGACTGTCATTCGCAGACCGACGCGCCGGTCGTCCCGGAGACCGCTGAGGGCCAAAATCGGATACGGTCGAGGATTCCTCCCAGACCGGAGGTGCCGGGGCCGGGAGCCCCGGTTGCGCGCGTAGAGCCCAGCAAGGCGAAGAAGGGCAGGTGAGAGCCAGAGGATCAGGCCCCTCCTTCTGGGAAAAAAGGGCCGTCGTTTACGGGCCGGCACGCCAGCCGCCCCGGGGCGCTAAAATTGCATACGGTCGAGGATTACTCCTCGACTGGAGACACCGGGGCTGGGAGCCCCGGTTCCGTGCGTGGAGGCGAGCAAGGTGCACAAAGGGCAGGCGAGAGCCGGAGGCTCAGGCCCCTCCATCTGGGCAAAAGGGCAGGCAAGAGCCGGAGAGTCAGTACCTTCCTTCTGGGCAAAAAGGGCCGTCGTTCACGGGCCGGCGCGCCGGCCGGGGGCCAAAATCGGATACGGTCGAGGATTCCTTCCAGACCGGAGGCGTCGGGGCTGGGAGCCCCGGCTGCATGCGTAGAGCCGAGTGAGGCGCACGGAGGGTAGGCGCGGGCCAAAGGGTCAGTTCCCTCCTTCTGGGCAAAAAAAGGCGTTTGTTCGCGGGCCGGTCGGGGGCCCAAATCAGATACGGTCGAGGATTCCTACCAGACCGGAGGTGCCAGGCCTGGGAGCACTGACTGCGCGCGTAGAACCGAGCAAGGCGCGCAAAGGGCAAGCGAGAGCCGGAGGGTCAGACCCCTCCTTCTGGGAAAAAAGCGCCGTCGTTCGCGGGCCGGCGCGTTGGCCGGGCAGGGTCCGGCCGGAGGCCAAAATCGGATACATTCGAGGATTCCTCCCAGACCGGAGGTGCCGGGGCCTGGAGTCCCAGCTGCATACGTAGAGCCGAACGAGGCGCATAAAGGGCAGGCGAGAGCCGGAGAGTCAGTACCCTCCTTCTGGGCAAAAAGGACTGTCGTTTGCGGGCCGGCGCGCCGGTCGGGGGCCAAAATGGGATATGGTCGAGGATTCCTCCCAGACTGGAGGTGTCGGGGCCGGGAACCCCGGCTGCGCGTGTAGAGCCGAGCGAGGTGCACAAAGGACAGGCGAGAGCCGGAGGGTCAGGCCCCTTCTTCTGGGCAAATAGGACCGTCATTCGCAGACCGACGCGCCGGTCGTCCCGGAGACCGCTGAGGGCCAAAATTGGATACGGTCGAGGATTCCTCCCAGACTGGAGGCGCCGGGGCCAGGAGCCCCGGTTGCGCACTTAGACCCCAGCAAGGCGAAGAAGGGCAGGTGAGAGCCAGAGGGTCAGGCCCCTCCTTCTGGGCAAAAAGGGCCGTCGTTCATGGGCCAGCGCGCTGGCCGGCCCGGGTCCGGCCAGGGGCCAAAATCGGATACGTTCGAGGATACCTTCCAGACAGGAGGCGCCGGAGCCGGGAACCCCGGCTGCGCGCGTAGAACTGAGCGAGGTGCACAAGGGGCAAGCGAGAGCCGGAGGGTCAGGCCCCTCCTTCCGGGCGAAAAGGGTTGTCGGTCGCAGGCCAGCGCGCTGGCCGGGGGCCAAAATCGGATACGGTCGAAGATTCCTCCCAGACTGGAGGTGCCGGTGCCAGAAGCCCCAGCTGCGCGCGTAGAGTCGAGCGAGGTGCACAGAGGGCAGGCGAGAGCCTGAGGGTCAGGACCCTCCTTCCGGGTGAAAAGGGCTGTCAGTCACGGCCCGGCGCTCCGACCAAGGGCCAAAATCACATACAGTCAAGTACTCCTCCAAGACCGGAGGCGCTGGGTCCGGGAGCCCCGGCTGCGCGCATAGAGCCGAGCGAGGCACAAGGATGGCAGGCGAGATCCAGGGGGTCTGGCCCCTCCTTCTGGGCGAAAAGGGCCGTCGTTCGCTGCCCGGCGTGCCGTCCGGCCCGGGGCAGGTCGGGGGCCAAAATCGCATATGGTCGAGGATTCCTCCCAGACTGGAGTCGCCGGGGCCAGGAGCCCCGGTTGCGTGTGTAGAGCCGAGCGAGGTGCACAGAGGGCAGGCGAGAGCCGGAGGGTCAGACCCCTCCTTCCGGGCAGAAAGGGTCATTGTTCGCAGGCAGTCGCGACGGCCGGGGGCGAAAATTGCATATGGTCGAGGGTTCCTCCCAGAGCACTGGCACCGGGGCCGGGAACCCCGGCTGCGCGCGTAGAGCCCAGCAATGCGCACGCAGAGCAGGTGATAGAAGGAGGGTCAGGCCCCTCCTTCCGGGCAAAAAGGGCCGTCGTTCGCAGGACGGCGTGCCGACCGGCCCATTGTTGGCCGGGGGCCAAAGTCGGATACGGTCGAAGATTCCTCCCAGACCGGATTCGCCAGGGTCGGGAGCCCCGGCTGCGCGCGTAGAGTCGAGCGAGGCGCACGCAGGGCAGGCAAGAGCCGGAGAGTAAGGCCCCTCCTTCCAGGCAAAAAGGGCCGTTGTTCGCAGGCCGGCGCGCCAGTTTGCCCGGGGCGGGCCGGGGGCCAAAATCACATACGGTTGAGGATTCCTCCCAGACCAGAGGCACCGGGGCTGGGAGCCTCAGTTGCGTGCGTAGAGTCGAGCGAGGCGCACGGAGGGCAGGCGAGTGCTGGAGGGTTAGGCCCCTCCTTCCGGGCAAATAGGACCGTCGTTTGCAGGCCGGTGCGCCGGTCAGGGGCCAAAATCGGATACCGTCGAGGATTCCACCCGGACCGGAGGCACCGTGGCCGGGAGCCCCGGCTGTGCGGGTAGAGCCGAGAGAAATGCACGAAGGGCAGGTGAGACCCGGAGGGTCAGGCCCCTCCTTCTGGGCAAAAAAGGCTGTTGTTCGCGGGCTGGCGCTCCGGCAGGCCAGGGGCTAAAATCGGATACGGTCGAGGATTCCTCCCAGACCGGAGGCGCTGGGGCCGGGAGCCCCGGCTGCATGCATAGAGCCGAGCGAGGCGCATGAAGAGTAGGCGAGAGCCGGAGGGTCAGGCCCCTCCTTCCAGGCGAAAAGGGCCGTCGTTTGCAGCGCGGCGTGCCGGTTGGGGGCCAAAATCGCATACGGTCGAGGATTCCTCCCAGACTGGAGGCGCCAGGGCCGGGAGCCCCGGCTGCGCGCGTAGAGCTGAGCGAGGCACACAAAGGGCATGGAAGAGCCGAAGGGTCCGGCCTCCTTTTCCTTGGGAGGAATCCTCATTTGTATGGGTTTTGTGGCAGGGGGGGCCGGCAGCGGTGGCCTGGGGCTGACCAAAGGGATCAGCAGCCCTTTGCCCAGGACAGAAAGCCTGGGAGCTTTGGCTTTGAGGTGCAGTTGGTGGCGCAGCCTGGGCACTCCGTGGGCAGCCAGAGCTTTCTGTGCTGGCACATTTTCCCTGGGAGGAATCTTCCTTTGTATCGGTTTTGGGGCGGGGGGGCCGGCACCGGCGGCCCGGGGCTGACCAAAGGGATCCGTGAGGCCCCGGGTAAAGGGAGGAGCCCAATTCCAGAAGGTATAAAGGGTCTTGGAGCAGAAGCACCTGGTTTGCATCTCTTACTCAAAATCAGGATCGGTGAGGAGCCTGCTGGAGAAAAGGACTTTTAATAAGAACAGGTATTATATTTGGTATTGGATTTAGTATTCGAATTTGTATTTGGGATTGTAATTTGTAAGAAAGTTAGAGCCATTCCCCCCAGGAAAGAAAGCCTATAGCTTTTGGGTGTCAGATGCAGGTGGGAAAACTTTCTGTACGCGTGGAAATGGTTTTGTTAGCTTGCCGGAGCCCTGCACCGAAACTGCACCTGACTCACAAAGGCTAGAGCCTTTCTTTCCTGGGGGAAAGGGTGTCGGTTGCTTTCAGAGCCCAGCAACGAAACGGCAGGTCTAACCCCCAAAATTAACATGGAGCTCGGGGTGGGCTGGAGCGGCGGGAGTTGGAGCGGCTGGAGTTGGAGCGGCGGGGGCTGGAGAGGGGGGTCTGGAGCGGCGGGGGTTGGAGAGGAGCGGGCTGGAGCGGCTCGGCGCGGGCTGGGGCAGCGCGGCGTGGCCATGTCCTGCCTGCGGGACAAGGGTGATCCTGGCGGTACCGGAACGAGGCGCGGGGGGGCCCGGAGGGAGCCCCGGGGATGCGGGGACCCTGCCGCGGTGCTGGGCTGAGCCCCCGGGGCTCCCGGGGCGCTTCGCGACCGGGGATTTGGAGTGAGGTAGTGACGAGAATCAGGAAGCGCTTCCACGGACCCACGCCTGGTTCGGTGGCTGTGCCGATGTTTGAACCGGGAAAGAGCCGCTGTCCTGCAGTGAGGAGCGGGGGAAATGGCCTTACAACGAGAGCGGGGAGATTCGGATTAGAGATTAGGAAAAAATTGGGTGGTCACGCGTTGGAATAGGTTGCCCAGGGAGGTGGTGGAGTCACCGTTGCTGCAGGTGTTCGAGAGGTGTCTGGATCTGGCGCTGGGTGACGGTTTAGGGGTTACACTGGCAGTGTTTGGTAATAGTTGGGCTGTGATGCCGAAAAACCCGGTCTGAAAACTGCTCAGAGACTTTTGTATCTTTAAACAGCAAGGTATTTGTTCATTCAACGTTGGGAACAAGCCAGCTCGTGCTTAATTACTCATAATTAATTAATTACTTAATTACTCACAATCTGCACTCTTTTGATTATGGTACTTAATTTATACTACAGCCATAGATTGAGTAATGATAACAGTGCAACAGCACTCACCAATACTAAGATTGGATGTATTGGGAAATGGAACACTTGAGAAGCCGTGGGGGAGTATCCCAGAAAAATATCCCACTGATGATGTTCTCCTGCTTGCTCTATCATTTCTGTATCTGGGTGTTCAAGCATCTTCTGGAAGAGATTGATATCCATCCCTATTTGCAATTTAGGTACATCACGATACAACAAATAGTAATTTTCAGTTAATTGCCCAGTAGTTATTGGAATTGTATAGTTAAAATCACAGCCTATTATTTTAGTAAAGTTACAAACACAAAAATTAGTTCCATTTGTAATCTCCTGAAAAATCTTTTCCCATAGAACCGGAATGCCCAATATAGGGTTGAGGCCGTGGCCA